ATAGTTTGCTTTTGGAGAATATAAAACAAAACGCACAAAACACACAAAAAACCAACAAAACAAAGCAAACACAAAATCGAACACAAAACAACATTACATGTTGATATTATGTTTAAAAACTTTTATTTGTCGAGAAATACTCGGAAAATATACCATCTCATCAGTTTATTTCAATGTATTTAATGTAATATAAACATCTCCTAAATGACAATATTATGCGACCACTATTTGTAAAGCTATTACACAAAGATAGTTATCTACCAGTCAGGAAACGGTTATTATATTAACACATCTTAAAATATGTTTGTTTTAGCAGTTTTAACTAACAACGACAATATTTAGGGTATGTGTCGACACTCCAATTTTACTAGTCAAGAAAGACCACAAATGTTCGATAACGTATAAATAAAAGAGTACGTACGTTAAATTTCTTAGTTTAACTTTTGTTTTGCTGATTCTTTTTTCATCCCACAGTATGAAATATAAAAAAACAGAGACTGACCGACATATTTTTGTTGTTGTGTTTTTTTACCAAAATGGTGCAAGGCAAATTGTCGAAGTCCTCATACTCGTACACGAACATGTTTCAAATTTTCGTTTGATTTCTTTATTTGTCCAGACCAAAATTTTTATATATCATAGGCTAAGTAAAATTTATAGTTTATGTATGTGTCATGGTAAAGTAATCAGCATATCTTGAATAACAAGTTAAACTGCTACAACTTCCCAGATAGAAATGTAGAAAAAATAAGAACTTTAAAACTTTGATAACAAACTAATTAGGCAGGTATCAGTCAGAGAATTAAAATGACTCTACATAATTAAGACAAACCTTATGGGAAATTAATGGAACAAACAAAGAACGCCATTTCATATAAATGCAATCTGTTATTATGAAATAAAGATATAAAAATATATATTAAAAAGATAGTTTACCATTCATTAAGCAATTTATCAGTCACTTGAAATCCCTATTTCCTGTGACGTAATTGTCGAGAAAAAGGATTCTTTAAAGTAATTTAAGGATGATAAATTTCAGGCTTCATAGAATTTTTCAAAAAAGGAAATGTTACTTTATACAAAAATAATGTTGTTATATAATAGTGTTGTTATTTTGTAGTTGTGACATTTTGCAAGGAAATTAAATCATGGTATAGCATTAAAGCACATACCGTAATATTAGCATAAGATAACTCTAAGTTACGTCAGAGAAGGGCGAGCTTATATTTGGTTGCCATTGGAAGTTATGTGTCAACCCCTTCATCCTTTACTGCCAAACGCTTTTATTACAGCACATGCCTGCTCGACATACAAGCCGTGTTCTCATTTACAGGTTATTAACTGTTTAAAACAGTTATATTTGCTAAGTAATGGAATGGGTAGATATATGTTTTGTGAATAACGCAACGTTTAGCATGTATGGTCACTTGATATGAACAAAAAAGTCAGTGATACCCTCAAATTGTGTTTAGTATTTTAACTCCTTTACTGACAGAATAATTGATTTATAATGATGTGACATTATTCCTTTGGTAATTAGACTTTTCCAGATCATGCAAACATACAGTTCCCTCTTATACACATAATGTAAATGAAAAAGTAAAGGCTTTGAACAAAAATATATTAAAATTGAACATTATTGTTTTTTTTCTTTGTATAGATTCTCTAATTATTTCCCAAGTACACCCATTATGATATAAACATTACATTTTAGGTCAATTTATATGACAGAATAGCTTTCACTGAGAGTTTATTCTGCACGCAACATATTAACAAGTGTTGAATGACACACGCCATCAAATCAATTAATTATATTTAAAGAGGTTCATGCGGTGTTTTTCTCTGATTATTATATTCATTCGCAAGATTTTTCATTTAGCAAAAATACATGAATACCTTCGTTCAAAAGATATTTTGATAAAGTAAATGTTGTCGTATATGCAACATACACTTGGTATGGCTCTTGTAGATCAAGAAAATGCGAGATATAAATCATTTATCTTCAACATCACATAATCACGAGTAATTAATTATAAAATGCCATATTGTATTATATGCTTTTTGACAAGTAAAAATAAACACCCCCCCCCCAAAAAAAAAAAAATCGTAAGAAAATATACCGTCTCATCAGTTGATGTCAATGTATTTAATGAATTTTAACATCTAAATGACAATATTATGCGACCACTATTTGTGAAGCTATAAAACAAAGATAGTTATCTTCTTGCCAGGAAACGGTCATTACAACATCAACAAATTAAAAAAAACAAAAACACACACACACACAAACAAAACAACAACAAAATGGAGACTGACCGACATATTTTCATTTGTTGTGCTTTACATCTTTACACGAAAATTGTGCCAGGCAAATTGTCGAAGTCCTTATACACGATCATGAACAGGTTTCAAATTCACATTTATTTGATTTTCTTTATATATTCGGATATATCATAGGCTATGTCAGTTTTATAGTTCATGCATGTGTCATGGCAAAGTTATTAACATATCTAAAATAACTAATTGAACTGATAAAAATGTAGAAAAAATTTACAACTTTAAAGCTTTGATAACAAACTAATTAGAAAGGTAAAAGTTAGAGAATAAAATCTACTCTGCTTAATTAAGACAAACCCTTTGGGAAATTTTTGGAACAAAGAATGCCGTTCCATACGAATTAAAATCTGTTATTATGAAACTAAGACATAAAAATATGTTTTGCCTTCCATGATGATAAGTAGATACTTTACAATTCATTTAGCAATTTATGAGTCACTCAAAAGTCCTTATTTCCTGTGAAATAGTTGTCGAGAAAAAAAAACATGTAGTTCATTAACAGAAATTAAAGATGGTCAAAATATAACTAGGCTTCACTGAATATGACAAAAAAGGAAATGTTACGTCATACAAATATAGTGTTGTTTTATATTAGTGTTGTTACAAAATGTTATTTTGAGGTTCCGTTACTCTTTGCAAATCTTTCTCCAGCTTAATTGACGTCATGGCATAGCATTGAAGTACATAATGGAATATCAACATTAATTCTGATATAAAATAGCACAAATTTATGTCTGAGAAGAACAAGCTTATGGTAGTCTTTTGGCCGTTGTGCGTCGGATTCAAAACCCGTACATCCTTTACAACACAAAGCTATCAATACACCACATGCCTGCTCGACATACAAGCCATGTTCTCATATCCGAGTGTCTTAACTATTAAATACTATAAAACAATAAAACATGTGATATAAATGAATCATTTATCATGCAAAATGATGTCATTAACATATTATTATATACAGATTTTTCTTGTGTTTAATTACAAACATATAAATAATATTACTGAAATGATAAAATAAATTCTAACGCTTATAAGGAGGAATGGCCCAATTTTTCATAAAATGGGATATGTATGGGCAACACTTTTAATTACTTATCAACTGATTATATTGTAATGTTCTAACAAGACTTTCGACCAAGACCTTTAGCTGATAATAAATGACAAACATTTGATATTCATATGAATGCGTTTACTTAAATAGAAATAGTGCTGTCTTTGTGATGTAAATGCATAAATGTCAACATATCAAACATTTTCAACCTTCATTGACAAACATTTTCCACTTGAATTTACATATAAAATATGTTATCACGCTATTCATTTGTTTGGCTTATAGAAGCATTTTACAGAAGGACGGATGATTCCGGATACTTCGAATTGAAAAGTTTTTTGAATAAGGCACAGTGGCGGAGAATGGAAAAGAGGAGGTTGTCAATAACTGTTACAATAACCCATTTAATAACAGAAGTGATAAAAAGTCAAACATGATACGGGGATTAAAGGGGCAAGGTTAGGGTGTTAGAGAAAGAAGTTAGAGAGCAAATTGTTTGTTTGTGCCCATTCATTGGTTTGCATGTTCGTGATCATTCTAAATTGTTTTACCTGTTATTATACATGGAGACGAAAAATTACATCAATGAAAAATCCATATCCATATACCATTATCGATGAATTTAAAATTAAAAAGTAAGACACAATTGATGTAGTTTAAACTTAGCATATACATTGACAAAGAAGCGAGGGGAAAGGACTGTTTAGATATATGTTAAGGTATGACATGACTGAAAATGGCTTTAACTCTATTTTTATTGTTTATGAAATAATAATCATACTTTTATGTGACATATGAGATAAACATTCGAACTTAAGCTAATATTTGTCTTTTGGCAATATTTATGAAAAAAAATCATTTTTATAACTTGAACACAAACATTTTAACATGTAGCCAATAAAAAAACTTTGATATGTGTTGTATTTCAACGACATCTAGAAACCGCATTCATTTATTATCAGACCTCTCAAAAAATTTAAGATTGACGCTCGATCCTGTATAAATTAACTATTCGGTTAGTATGTGCCCAAGAAAAGTCCATAAATGTATCATTAAAGCTTTCATGAAGATTCTTTTTTCATGGTTATCTCTAAATATGTCAATCCTTTTTTTAGATTATTATACATTCGTTGTTTCAATGGATGTATCATACATATAACAGTATGTTAACGTATTGGAATTCAATATATTTATCCAACAAACCGTCAGAGATATTAATACACAATTTCCCACAGTATCAAACAATTAAGATATATTATTTGTCTAGATAACGTAATAAATAATGTGTTCAAAAATTACTTTAATATGAATATGATGAAATATAACAGTGTATCAAACGTTCATTTACATAAGACGGAATGCACAATCCATTTTAAAACAACAAATAAAACACATAACGATTTGAATGTAAATAAATTACAAATTGTAATGAAAACTGCAAACGACAAGTAATTTGATAAAACAGGGAAGTTATCTATGAACATTCTAATAAATTTCATCATTTTCTCTTGTCAAAAGTTTCATTGCTTACACTTGAAGTTCGTTGTATTGTCTATATAAGTTTTTAATAAATTTGCATCATAAAGAATATAATATTTATAATCACCAACCAGATACGAATGTTTTGTTCTAATGAATAAATATAAGCTAGTAACATTGCATAATTTGTTCTTAATGGTCAAAAGGAATGCTTAAGTCATGCCTTTTTTTGGTGAATTTCTGTACCTTGACAGTAAAGAATCAGGATTGAAAAGAACCAAACTTATCTTGAATATCTTTTAAAGGAAAACCAGTTTTTGAAATATGGAAAACAATAAATATCCATGATAGTTATAAATAAACAGTTGACTGATTGTTAAAAGATTTCGTTATGAAACTACCCTACTAACTGATCTTGTCAGTGTACCTTGATGAGGTGCCACTTGTACCTGTCTTCTTTTACAAGATATAACTTTGCGAACCTCGCTCCGAAATTTCGAACCACTCAGAAAATAAAGCACAAAATTGACTGAGTGATTGGAGTACATCAACAAATTTGCAAGAGCATTACTGAGAAACATTGTAGCCAGTCGTTGTTCAGATGCACCCTGTATCCAATATGGTTCTCCAATAGGATAAACAACAATTGGTGTAATGCAAATAATAAACAATGCACTAACGAGCATAAGTAAAACAGTCAAACTGGAGGTTTTGTTTCGTTGTGTTGCAGTGGTTGATGGAACATTTGTTGATGGAACGACAGCACGACGACTTCGACGGTGACTATCCAATACTTTAAATATAATCATCATATTACCAATTAGAAGAAACAACATTGGGATGAGGTAAAAGACACACAAGTCAATCCAAGTCCATGAATAACTGATGAAATGCGTGTAATTATCTTCCATTGGAACGCACCTCTCAATGATTGTGTGGTTTCCATTGTATTTATCACCATACCCGAAAAGGTAGTGACTATTTAAAAGGCAGAGGGTCAGAAATATAGCGGCAACAGCAATGGATGCATTTCTTTGTTTGCAGAACACGCGGCGAGTATGCGGCAAAAAAGTGCTTATAATTCGTTCAAGTGTAACACAAATAAGCATCCATGAAGAAAATTGTGTGACGACATAAACTACAAACCAATGTATCCTACATCCAGTTACCGTCAGATCTTCTCTAATATCAACTTTAAACGTGTATTTAACCCATTGTCGAACTAAACCTGTGATAAGAGCAAGAATATCTGATATAGCCAAAGTTACAAGAAACGTCGAAGTTGCTGAATTCCTCAGATGTTTTTGTAGTAATATTATGATAGTTAAAACATTGCCAGTTATTCCAAATACTATGAGGAAAGGTGGAACATATCTCCAAAGTGAAAGCGCTGCTTTATATTGAATATAGTCTTCCAGGTTCATCATAAAGTCTGTTAGCCAGATAACGTGGCAGTGAAAGATATAGTCTGTCTCTCTGTAAAAATCCAATATATTCTGAAATTATATAATAAATGTAGATAAAAGAAAGGAAGAGATTTTAGTGATAATGTGATGAGAGAAAGGCTGCATCTAACACTTTTTTTCGATTTTATTAAGATTGTTTGTTTGTTTGTTTCATTTTACGCCTTTTCCCAACAGTATTTCAGTCATATAGGCGGGTAGTTTCCTGGAGAGTTACACCAGTACTAGACTACCTTCCTCCGTGCTAAACCACCAAAGCATCCCCGGGAATCGAACCCACGCCAGAGAGGTAACTGGATTAGAAGTCATCGACTCTAACCCCTCGACCACGGAGGCGGTTGATTGTATTAAGAAACAGAACAAAAGTTATAACAATGTTCTAGTAAAACAATTACGCATTTATAATAAAGATAAGACTTAAACATATCTAAGATAAAATTTTCCTTGTACACGGTATAATATTCCAATCATAATCTCATGTTTAAGCGTATTTTCCCATGTTATTATTGTAAAATGAGGAATAGTCTCCAATTGCATTCATTTTGCTTACACTTCGTTTCTCAAAGTATAGATTATTAGTAGAAATATCCTATCATTATTTTTGCTATTTCATCTCTATCATATATAACAGGTAGAAAACTTCAGTAGTAACTATTGATCGACCACATTTAATAGCAAAAAGAATAAATCTGCAAAACATTAACATTTATGATTTTGAATTTCATTTCAACATCTAGTAACAAATTAGTACAATTTGTATTGACTAGTTTAACGTTGACAACATGTAATATTTGATATGTATACGTAATTATTGCCATATTCATCTCTAATATCTCGGCACTTGCTATAAATATAATCACTAGGGAGATCTGACCTTTTCTTTGTCATATATTTGTGTTGAAACTTCTACAGATATGCTCATTTGTAACGATAAACTTCGATTCGAATCTGTATGAAAATGCTTTCTTCAGTTATGAACACAATAGTAATGTAATTCGCAGTTTCAATTATCGAATCTGTAGTGTGGTACATGTTTAACATCTTATAACAAAGATCAATTCATTGTAAAGGGTCCAGAGATAGAAATAAAATCTTTTGAAGAGCTAGAAAGAAAAGTTTCAACAAAGGTAGATAAATAATATAAAGATTAGAAAATGAAATGTTTAAGAAGATGTAGAAATGACATGATTTACAAGGGGGGATGTTTTAAAAAAGAAATAGTGAAATATTTTTACCAGAAAAAAAGATGTGCAAAAGATATGATTTTATCAGAGTAATAAAGGAAATGGTTTTACTACAGGTAGAAAGGATTTTTTTGCAAAAGATGTGCAAAAGAATTTGCTATGCTGCGCCTCAATGCTAATCTGTTTGGTGTCTATTGGTATCTATTGTAAAAGATGATAACTTTAATGGGATACGATGGACTAATGAATGATCAATGATAAAACACAAACAATATAAGTATGCAATGTATTTGGACATGTATGGATAAACATTTGAAGCAAAACGGTTTACACCTTAAACATGAATATTGCACATCTTTCATAATCGTAAGATAATTATAACACTATATTTACACCTGATCAATAGGACACTCAATTTTAAATATAAAAATGTCGTCTCGTAAGAAATATGACATAAACAGATTAAAATCAAACAATATGGCATTTCTCTATTGATAGTGATATTGCAATTACGGAATTAGTATATTGCATATACGGAAGGTATAGTAACTGAAACAACATTACAATAGTTTTAATGATTATTAAATCAATGAAGATTACACTATACCAAAGCAATACCATAGAAACAGCATTAAACAATACCAAGGCAATTTAAGCTTAGTTCAAAGCAATACTAATGGGAATAAGATTTACCTAGTTCAAATATAGAGTATGTTTAAAAGTTTATAAACAATGTTCACAATGTTTTTTTGTTTGAAAACCCGTTGAAGAACTGTCAAATGAACTGAACGAGGAAAGAGGCAAGTGATTTTAACCAAACGGTCACTCCGCCATGTACGCCCACAGGAACTTTGGATAATTACCCTATCGGTGGTGCTACCCAGGGGGTCGTTTGTGCCTTAAATGATACACTGAGGGGTGTCCCTGATGTATTCCACCAGTAGTAGAAAGGCGGCATATCACCTTTATTTACTGGTGTGACGTAAAATCCAACATACAAAGAAAAAAACAAGTGATGTAAGCTATAATACATTTTATTTGATTTATTTTTAACAACAACGCTCACCTAATGCCTACTATAATACTGCCATGACCTCATTTTTTATTGCGAATCGTGGAAGTCGTTTATTTCTACTGAAAGGATATTTATGTCTAGTAATTGATATATAATGATTCAACATCAATTCGTTGGTAATTGGGCCTTCCGGAATGTCTGATATAATAGTGTAAATGAACTAGTAAATAATTTGGTTTCCCCATACTGACAATATATTCTACAATGTATATAGCATAATTTGACATTATTGGTATTTTGTAATCAGATATATCTTTTACTTTATCATAGAGTTTATTATGCACGCAACATATAAATGAATGTTAAATCAATTCAAGTTATAATTCTTCATTATAAATCATATGATGATTACTCTGATTATTATTTAAATTTGTTTGATTTTTACGGCGCACCAACACAATTCAGGTCATATGGCGCCAAAACAAGAGATATGATTTTGGCTTACCTCGGTTGTGTTACAAACTTTAAGCAATACCAGAGGGTCAGTACCACCTCACCTGCTGCAGCTAAGAGATGCATAGAATCCACAATTAATTAATTATCTGTCTTCACATTCAAATGAGTTATAGACTGCTACATTGTACTACTTATTGGTTGGTTTTTTCGCAAACAAAGCTTAATTTTGTGTTCAACAACTTACAATTGGCTGGAAACCTTTTGTAAGTTTTTTTTTCAATCCCTACAACTGAATGTTAAACATCAGAAACAACTTCATATGTAACGTTAATAAAAATTTCTAAATTGTAATGCTATTAAACACTCGTCAGGAAGCTATCGTTTAGAAAGTATGTCTGATTTTTGTTTTAAATTACACCGTTTTGAATTACACCGACAATGTTGAGGTTATGTGTCGACATCCCATATTTACTGGCAAGAAAAGACCACAATTTTTTGGCAATGCGTAATTTTACTTGGAAGTCGGTATCTGCAGCTTGGGTTTGATGCGTTTAATCCAACAGCTTAAAGTATGGAAAAACGGAGAATGTCTATTTTATCATTTTTAATTGTTTTACAAATTAAAAATATCACATATACTTTTGGGAATACATGCATGTAAATTTAACGTTTGATTTTCCAGATACAAATTTAGTTTGCTTTCATTATAATTACGTAACGTTTCTGTGGCATCTTTATTAGACACATTAAAGTAATTTCTGATTAATTATTTATGCAATTCCAATGATATATAAATGTAAATCACATTGTTAAAATACCCTACAGACATGAACTAATCAAATTATTTTAAAATTGTTAAATCTGTATTGACATTTATCATCGTTAGGAGATGAGAATACACTCAGTTAAGGTGTACGTTCATGCAAAGTGGGCATGTATCGTAACATTTCGTGACATAATATGGAGGTCACGAAAATCGACAAGTATTGTCACTTTAGGTGTCATGCAAATTTACAGACACTTGATTACACATACAATTTATTGCTGCTTACTGTATTTTTAAAGACTTTTATTAACTTATATTATACATGAACTTGATTACCTAATATTATACATAACTTCTCATCATACATTTAAAAACTTCACATTTTACATCATCTCTCATGCCCCCTAGCACCGGCTGAAGCAATATTCAACCTTCATCGATATCACTGATCCCAAAGAAACAGAAAAAAAACAACAGTGAATTAGTATGCTGTAGACTCAAAAAAGAAAATGTATAAAAATGGGACGTTAAACACATCAAATTAAAACTACTTGAATTAACTACTATTTTAATTCCACTTTTGAACTTCGTTTTTTAATAAAGCAATAATTGGCCCGTTATTGGAATGTTTCATTTCCAGAGAATGTTATATATTTATTTTAGGTTTAAAATTTTAAAAGGACCCCGTAGTATCATTTCTTTGAAAGAAAAAAACAACAACACTTAACCGAAAATCTCTGCTAATTTTCATGTTTTAAGTCCTGATATTTTATTGGAGAAATAACCTTAAATTATAATTTCCTAAAATTTATAAGTAAAATCATTTTCATTTATTAAGGTTTAAGGTTAAGATTTTTATCAATGAAATAACCTCAAACGTTTAATTTTCTTTATAACTAAAATATCTCATTCTTTTCAGGTGTGAGTTTAAATTTTTGTCAATTTGAAATTTAAATATTTTTTCCCGGTTTAATGACATCAAATTTAATTAAATACATCAAAAAGAGCATTTAAACTAGCATATGCTAAACATTTATCTTATATCCGTTTAAGTAAAAAAAAAATCTCGAAAACATAAACTGCATTCATTTAAGTGAATGTTATCGTTATTTTATTGGTTCTTAAGCAACCGGACATAATTGTTTTAGTCTTTAAATTTCATATTGCATGCTTCTTGCTTTAACACAATGGTATTTTGTTCCTGTTGTTTGTTTTATTGTCGGAGAAGGTGCGCCTGTATAATTTCTATGAATTGAATATCAACATAAGTATACACTTCTAAATGTCACCCGAATCTTCAATTGTTTAATCTTAAAAATGTTTATCTTTGTTTGTTCCCAAACCAATAGCGAAAATAGAAACCTCAATGAATAACGAACACGATTAAAATTAAAAATATTGCAGGCTCGGTTTTATTCTGCATTTTGATGGACTACAGTGGTAAATGCACGCTACCGTTCGCGCTACTTCTTCAGAAAATCCCATATTTAAACGTGAGACTTATGATAAGAACTGAATTCATTGTTAAGTATTTAGCTATCTAGACAATGTTTGCATTTTTCTGCAGTGTCAAGTGTACTTAAACTTATCAAATGACAAACAAATCAGATGAAATGTGATTAAATAAAGGAAATGAATTATACTTTATTTCATATAGAGTGACGACTTGCAATTAAACTGAAAATCATAAATGAAATTATGACATTTAATGATATTTATAAGAGCTAAATAACACGAATGCCGACGTAAATAGGAATAAATTTGGAATTTATTACGAATAATTTATTCCAAATAATCCTTTCTAATTGATCACCATTCATTTTTACTCAATTTTC